TTCAATTTGAATAGCGAAGCAGGGATGGAAGTAGGTGGAAGGACCAATGATGCTGGTTCCCGAAATTCCTAGGCCGCCAAAAAAAGGGAAATCATGCCGATGTTTCACTATACAAGCATCTTCACATAACTGAAATGCTTATCAGCAGTATAAACTGAGCGCGAAAACAGTTAAGCTAATTATAGCCTTTGGACGCACGTGTCGCAGGGAAGTGTGCATACCTTTTTTATAATATCAGAAGGTTTGCGTTGATTCTAGCTCCGATCAATGATCAGTGATGCTGCGAATTCATAAATTTGCTGATTGGCTTTTTCTAAGGCTGCCACTTTCATCTTCAGGGCTTCAACTGTCTCGGAGTCTGAACTGTGGTCAAGTTCCGTCGAAAAGCCATCATCCATCCCGGCGGCGCTGCTGCCGTGTTGCTCGTTATCGACCGAAACTAGCGAACAGTTCTGGACAAATTCATTCATTAGCAACAGTGACAGAGAGGTGTTGCTGTGTTTGTTTTACAAAAAAGACATTGCAAGAGGCTACATAACTTACCCTTTTGCGAGTTAACCCAGTGATCATTTCGTCCAGCTCTGCAGTATAACATTCCTCCTGAAATAGCTCTTTCGCTTGGCTAAAATAAAAGCACAGAACCAATAATAACGGGCGGTAACGGTGTTCGTTGTGGAGGGATGGATGGACTGAATTCCCGACTAGACTTGTATCAAAGTGCTTGATCCCGAGAATTAAGTGGCAAAATTAGAAGTGATGGAGTCACATTATCAGCGGGAACCGAAATAAAGAAATGACTGTTCGATTTCGCACATCCTCTAACCCCGCTGCTCTTTTTATATGATACAAGTAAATAATACCAAAAATGAAGGTATTTTGTCGGAGGCTGCGATACACTGCAGTGGTACAATATTTGGCGATTTACTCAGTTCTCGTTGCAGGCTAGAAATAGGTGCATTTCCTTTTCGATCGTCTTCCTGTGAAATGTCCCATCGTGGAGTGAACTTTAATACGCATATAGGTCCTTCAAACAGTGACAAAAATTAGAGAAAAACGAAAGGAAACAGCAGATTTTAAAAC